ATCAGTGGATCCTCTGCAGTGAATGGGTGCCGTCAGAATGAGAGTCCAAAGAGGATTGCTAGATTTCTCCAAATCTGTTCTAATTAAGAAACAAACTCATCTACATCTTGGATGGCCTGAAGGTAAGCTAAATTGGGTGAGCGAATTAATTGGAATAAGAAAAAAAAATCCAAATGAATAATAACTCACAAATAACATTTGTGAGTTATCAACATTCCCAAACAGTTGAAATCCATTCACATACTTGCATAGAGTATAATCCAGTCAAAAGAGACAGCATTGAATGTATCCTTTGTGAAGAAGGCGTTCCCATAATGCAACAGGTTCAGTGAGCTGCTGGATAAAGCTGATAAATATATAAATATAATTCTAAAACTATTTTTTAATGAGAGTCTTCTAGATCAGTTGCTTACGATGTTGCATTTCAGCAGACAGCAAGACAGCTCACTATGTTTTGGACCTGAGCCATGATCTCTGATTAGGGTTGCAAAAAGGTAAATTTAGGAAATATTCCAGAAATTTGGGAAACTTTGCAGGATTTTTTGGAATATTCCAGGGATTTTTGGAAAGTTTCCGGAAATTTTCCACCCCTTTGCAACCCTATCTCTGTTAGATCGCCTCTTAGACATCAACAGATGATTCTGTATTATTGCTCCCATTGATTTATCTGTCAGTCTAGCACTCTGACCAATCTTTTTACCTCTAGACAAAACGGTGAGTGTTTTTTACTTGTTGTCTGTCTCACATCTTTAACGTGATCTGTCTTTGCAGCATTTCTGAGATGCTCTCAAGGTTTGCAATGAGAGGAGACCTGTAAGACCTTTTTAATATGCATCCCAACTAACCGTAAATACAGCTTTTACCATGCATGAAAAATAATGTTTCTATCTAATGGAATGTTTATGCACTTCAAAAACTGTCATAACACTAATATAATTCTTGTTCATCTTCAGTCATAGATAATGGTGTTAGCGTTCTCTTTCAATCGTTGAGTTACAGTTGATTTTAGGGATGCACGATATATCGGCCACCATATCGGTATCGGCCGATAAATGCTCATTTTTTCTGTTATCGGTATCGGCCTGATAAGAAAATTTGGCCGATATCTTAAAGCCGATAAATAATGCATTATTTCCTTCAGAGACACTTCAGATGCGCGCTGTTCGTTTGCAGCCTTTTGTGCAATTGTACGTTGTAATATTGTGTTTATTTGATGTATATCTGATTTATCTCATATAGAATGCGTTTGGTTAAGTTAAAAAGAGCGCTTCAGTTTACCGGTGATAAACTCAAACAGCAGTGCACAACATTAATAACTATGATTGGGAATGTCGTGTATATAAAATTCTAATGAGAACATTATTATAATAAAACGTTGTGAATTCTTTGGGTTTAGTTGCCGTGTTTCAGCGCGTTGATATGGGAAGAGCGCATCCACAACAGGATCACACATTCTGACTATAGCACGCAATAACTGCATCATTTTGTACATATATAAGTTGTAATATTATGTTTATGTTGTATTAATATTAATCTCAGGATGCATTTCCTTGAGTTAAATAAGCTGCCAGCAAAACGCTTCAGTTTACCGTGTTCATTCAGCTCTTCAGCTTCAGCACGTGCAGCTCAACGGCTGCTATTTAAAACGGTGGTATTAATTTGTTACTTTTTCAAAATCATTGATATATTATTAATAACAACAACCACTTGTATTTTTCTCTTATTATTTTCATCAACAATATGGTTTAGTAATTAAAATCATTTAATTATTGTCCGTGCAGAGGCTATTCTGTTTTATTGATCTGTGGCGCATTCATTTTGATTCTTTACACGTGTAATGATGTCCAGTGACTTGTTTGCATTATTTATGCATTATTTTATTTATTTGTAAGACTTTTTTATGACTAAATTTGGTAATGGGAGAGTAAAAATATTTTTAAAACGTACACCGTTCAAACTAGGCTGCTTATGTTGAAGTGTTTGGGATGTGACTTTTAATGATGAGACCTTTTTTGTAATCAGGCTCTCAAAAAGTATATAACAATTTGGATATAGATTTATCGGCCAACATATCGGTTATCGGTTTTCAAAAATAAAGCATAATCGGTTATCGGTATCGGCCAAAATTTTCATATCGGTGCATCCCTAGTTGATTTCAGGTCTCTCTGCAAATGTATACACAACTATACAGAGCTGACAATCAAGAAACGGTTCTCATTCAGAATTAAAGAAAGGATCACAGAGTGTTTGACATCAGTGGATTGATTGAAGGTTTTGATGAAAGCAACTTGTAGAGCATTGTGTTAGCAATGTCATTGTCATAGATTCAGTTACCACACAATGCATGAGCTGATAAAATGCATATTTTCAAAGCAATGTAAATCGCTTTGGATAAAAACGTCTGCCAAATTCATAAATGCATAACACTAACTAGCCAAAGTAATCACCATTATCTGGGAGTTCCATGTATTTTACTGAAACATACTACTGTAGATATCCAAACCAATGGCATTATTGCACTGATTGTCGAAATGACATTAGACAGAAAAGGTCTGGGGCCAAACAAGGACTCGAGCCATCCAGACATCTTGGTTGCATATTAATTTCATCATAGCATGCTTGCATCATTCCACAAGCTGCATTAGCTGAAAATCTAACTGATGGTTTTTGCTTAGCAAGCTTCACCATGTACCTGCTGTAATGCAGCAATTAAAGGAATGGTTCACCCAGAAATGAAAATTGGCTGAAAAATGCTCTAAAGTGCATGTGCTAAAATACATGCTATTCTGGTCTATGTAAATTATATTATTTTATATTATTACAAATTATAGATCATTGGTTCTTACTGCCTCTGAAGTCTTGTTGGTATAGTTGCAGTCAACACTATATCCCATCAGTGTTATTTTAGTGTTATTATTAGTTTTACTTATATACTATCATAGTAATATTTTGAATTAGCTTTTATTTTTTATTTTAGTTTGTTTTAGTAATTTTATTATGTAATTTAATTAGAGTTAACACTGATCCACTAGTAGGTCATTCAGTCTATGAAATCAGTGCATTTTCCAAAAAATGATCAGACAAAGAATGTCTTAAATTGTTAATAATTTGCACTGGGACATCTCATGATTTTATATATATATATCTTTGTAAGTGAGTGGGTGATTGTGCACTGAAAGACAAAATTAACTGTAGAAACATATGAATTCAGGACAGGCTTAATATAATTTCAACTTCAGTGTTTATTCAACTTTCAATGTTTGTACAATCAGGGGCTCCGCTATGGTTTCCGGGCCCCCTGAACATCATTGACTCGGGCCCCCTCTCCCTCGCCGGGCCATCGTTCTAACCTTCCCCCCGTTACGGTGCCACTGTGTACAATACATTTCGCAATAAACTTTGAATGTATATTGTTTTACGCCATGATTCATCTCCGAGTTTATTGGTGTGGTTAATGGTGTATAACTGTTTGGAAATGCATATGAACTACTGTATACTATATACTAGGGGTGTAACGGTGCACGTATTCATACTGGATATTTCCAAAACGGGTCTTTCACCGAACAAATTAAGCATTGTTTTAACTACTGCACGAATTGGAACTTCACTGGAAACTTCCAGTTTTATATATTGTTACTTTTGATAAGAAACAAAGTCTCATCTTTCAAATTACGTCCTTTTTTTTTCAGGAAATTCAAACAATAAAAGACGTTTTGACGCTCTTTGATGTGGCGCGACAGATCGTTGTATAAATGCCTCAGTTCAAACGGCATCATGGAGCCCTCTTTACTACTAGTTTTACTTTTAACACGAAATAAACATGAATGAACATCTCATGCCTCATGTAATCGCTCAATCGGTGGTCCAACCACAGAAAGACGTCAATAAAACTTAATAAAAATCTATTCGTAAAAAAAATAAATAAATAAAAATCTTCTAAACACGTAGCATTCATTTACCTCTGGCAAGTCATCAGTGTTCACAACTCTTTAGTTCGCTAGAGAAATGAACTCTAGAGAAGAGCATTTCGTGGAATATTAGATTATATACTTATTATATTTTACTTTAGCTGTTAGTGATGTCATAATTATTTAATGTATGTTTACATTAGTGCTGTCAAACGATTAATCGCGATTAATAGCAGCCAAAATATTAGTTTTTGTTTACTTTATATATGTATATTTACTGTGTATATTTATTATGTATATATAAATGCACACACATACAGTATATATTTAGAAAATATTTACATGTTTATACATTTATATATTCATATTCTTATATTTTATATTATATATAAATAAATATATTTAATATAAAAACAACATATTTTTCTTAAATATATACATGCATGTTTATATTTATTTATAAATAATAAATATACACAGTACACACACATATATTATGTAAACAAAAACGTTTATTTTGGATGCGATTAATCTTGATTAATCGTTTGACAGCACTAGTTTAAATAAATCTCTTATGAAACAAGTTATGACAGTCACTGTGTAAATTAATATATTTCAACAACAAATGGAAATTTTATAATTAAGAAGTTAATTTAAAAACTGCATTTTGTGCAATTTACATGTTTGCATACATTTTTTTTTAAGTTGAGCGTTGATTATAATATTTAAAATTAAATAGCAATTCAATTTAAGTTTGGGCTCCGTTGTTAATTGTAATCTTATAGTAATGTAAAATGGCTCCCTATAGCTTATATAGCATAATCTGAGGTAGATTTGTATCCCTAAGAAAATTTTATTTATAAGTGAATTTATTTAAAGAAAGGGCAATTTGTTCAGTACACCACTGTTTAAAAAAAACCGAGGTATGTACCAAACCGTCATTCAAGATGAAGGGTTTTAAGCACACGAGATATCACACCAAGCAAGCCTTACTTCTCAGACTTTGCACAGTGACTCAGCTGAAACGACTGACTTAAGAAACCCTATGCACATGTATCATCTGTTATTGATGTGTCTGTGCTGCTCTTGCAGAAGCTGTCTGACGTGGCTCCCAGCTCTTCGGAGGGCAGCACGGTGGACCTCAGACACTTCGTTAAAAAAGATGGAGAAGATTCTTTGGACTCTGAACTTGAGGAATCTACTGATCCAGAAGCCTGTTTCACAACAGGTGATGCTGCTAATAGTTTCCTTACCATACATAATAAGACCGTCCTTCAACTCTTACAAAAAAGTTCAGTAGTATCAGTGGGAAATGCCATGTTATATACAATGGGCCCAAAAAAACATATGCTGTTTTATTTGTCTATGCATCACTCAAAGTGAAGACTCAACTCACTTTTAATAGTGTTTGAATTTAACATGTTACTAACCTAATGACAATAGGTAGAATAACACATGGCACACACAAATATTGTTGGTTTTTATTACGTGTTTCGTCTCTGTCTGCTTTTTGCTATTGAATAAATTTGATGGTTATTAATAATATGTTTTTTGCATGGATTTATTACACGTTTTGAAACTTAAGTCAGGCTTAAAATGTCTGAATGTCATAGCATTGGATAACAAAGTGGTGTTTGTCTTAAAGAAATATTTTTTTACCCATTTCAAGAAAAACATTTCACAACAGGAACATTAAAGGGTTAGTTCACCGAAAAATGAAAATTAGCCCATCAATTACTCACCCTCAAGCAATCCTAGGTGTATGTGACTTTCTTCTTTCAGACGAATCCAGTCAGAGTTATATTAAAAATTGTCTTTGATCTTTCAAGCTGTTTAATGGCACTCAGCGGGTGTTGCAGTGCATCAGTCCAAAAGAAGTGAAATAAAAAATGCCCATCCATAATAAAAAGTGTCTCACACAGCGCTAGGGGGTGAACAAAGGCCTCCTGTAGCGAATCGATGCGTTTTTGTAAGAAAAATAACCATATTTAAAGCGTAATAATCAATTTAATCTAGCTTGCGCTCACTGTTGTACATGGAAGCAGCTCCGGGCGGATGACGTATGAGGTCAGCGTTTTTATTTCACTTCTTTTGGATTGATGCACTGCAACACCCGCTGACTGCCATTAAATAGCTTGGAAGATCAAAGACCATTTTTAATATTACTCCAGTATTCATCTGAAAGAAGAAAGTCATATACACCTAGGATGACTTGAGGGTGAGTAATTTATGGGCTAATTTTAATTTTTGGGTGAACTAACCCTTTAAACAACAGTTCTTAAGCTGAAAATGAAGACACAATTTATGGCACCACTTTGTGATTGTAAAACTTTAGTGTAGCATGTTCATAGTTAATGTGATAAACAACCTTGCTTGTGATGTTCCTTGTATTAAAAGGGCAGTTGTGACTCGTGGCCAAACCCCCAACTACTCCCCGGGAGCCACACAAATTCTGAGTATGGGACACCATACTTGGCCACATGTCACTTCCTTTCCTTTCCAAATTAGTAAATGTAAATGTAGTAAACCTAAGGGTACTGACTTTGCACACCTACTAAAAGCCACCTTCAGACTAGTTAGTTAAACATATTTGGAAAAATGAAAAATTAAGAGAATTGTTTACCAGAAATTGACAAAAAATGTACTGAAAATGTACTAATCCTCAGGCCCTCCAAGATATACAGTGGTGTGAAAAAGTGTTGGCCCCCTTCCTGATTTCTTATTTTTTTGCATGTTTGTCACACTTTAATGTTTCAGATCATCAAACAAATTTAAATATTACACAAAGATAATGCAAGTAAATACAAAATGCAGTTTTTAAATGATGATTTCATTTATTAAGGGAAAAAAGCTGTCCAAACCTACGTGGCCCTACGTGAAAAATTAATTGCCTGTTAAATCATGGAAGAACTGCAATTAACCACCTTATTTTAGAAAGCTGAGTTAAATTTCACTAGCCACACGCAGGCCTGATTACTGCCAGACCTGTTGAATCGAGAAATCACTTAAATAGAACCTGTCTGACAAAGTGAAGCATGCTTAAAGAGCAACACATCATGCCACGATCTAAAGAAATTCAAGAACAGATGAGAATCAAAACAGTTGACATGTATCAGTCTGGAAAGGATTATAAAGCCATTTCTAAGGCTTTGGGACTCCAGCGAACCACGGTCAGAGCCATTATCCACAAACGAAGAAAACTTGGAACAATGGTGAACCTTCCCAGGAGTTGCCGACCAACCATAATTACTCCAAGAGTTTTTTCACGTAGGGCCAGGCAGGTTTGGACAGCTTTTTTCCCTTAATAAAATAAATAATCATTTAAAAACTGCAATTTGTATTTACTTGCATTATCTTTGTGTAATATTAAAATTTGTTTGATGATCTGAATCTTTTAAGTGTGACAAATATGCAAAAAAAAAAAAAAACTGGAAGGGGGCCAACACTTTTTCACACCACTGTATATGAATTTGTTTCTGCATCAGAACAGATTTAGAGAAATGTAGCGTTACTTGCTCACCAATGGATGCTCTGCAGTGAATGGGTGCCGTCAGAATGAGAGTCCAAACAGCTGATAGCTGAAGTAGTAATCCACACCACTCCAGTCCATCAATTAATGTCTTGTGAAGTTAAAAGCTGTGTGTTTGTAGACGTTTTAACTCCAAACCGTTGTTTTTTGTTGGACAAAATAATAATCCATAATAATGTGAAAAAGTCAATCCCTCGTTGGCCTTTTACATCAAACTCATTATTATACTTATCCACCAACTTATTTGTTCATTTCTCCAAATCTATACTTCGTTTTTCAGGGTGTGTCCAACAGTTCCCGTGCTGCCAGGTGGATGCTGAAAAGGGCATGTGGAAGAAATGGTGGCTGCTGAGACAGACATGCTATAACATAGTGGAGCACAGCTGGTTTGAGACCTTCATCGTCTTCATGATTCTGCTTAGCAGTGGCGCTCTGGTGAGGGAAGTGCATGTGTTGTTTTGTTTGTCAGTGTGTCACAGGGTGAAGCCTTGATTCACTTTCAAAAGAGTTTGACGTGAACATGTTGCTAAGCTAATGACACAATACTCTAGACAGAATAATACATGGCACACACAAATATTGTTTGTTTTTATTACCTGTTTAAAATTGTATAGGCATTTAAAATCAGTATTTTTCTTAAATGGATTTTTTCACTCAACTTGTTGCAATCCATGCTGGTTTAATTCTAATCCTTTATATCTTCACATCTCAAACTTTTTTCAGGCACTTGAGGACATTTACCTTGACTCAAGGAAAACCATAAAGACCATACTGGAATTTGCTGATAAAGTTTTCACCTACATCTTCATTCTCGAGATGCTGCTGAAATGGGTCGCGTATGGTTTTGTCAAATACTTCACCAATCTCTGGTGCTGGCTGGATTTTATTATTGTTGATGTAGGTTCAACTTTTGATGAAATATTATATGTGCTGCACAAGATTACAGTTACAGTTGTGGTCGTAAGTTTACATACACCTTGCAGAATCTGCAAAATGGTCATTTTTACTGAAATAAGAGGGGTCATGAAACATGTGTTGTTGTCCTGATAAAACTATTTCACATACAGATGTTTACATATAGTCCACAAGAAAAAATAACAGATGAATTTATAAAAATGACTCCGTTCGAAAATTCCTATATGCTTGATACTTCTTGTATGATTTGCGATAGTTCTCACTTGTTTCTTATGAGCAGGTGCATTGACCACTGTTCTTCAGAAAAATGCTCCAGGTCCTGCACGTCTTTTGGTTTTCCAGGATCTTCAGCATATCTGAACCCTTTCTAGCAGTGTCTATATGATGTTTTACTTTAATTGAGGGACTCATACAAATAATGCAAACATTCACTGATGGTCAAGAAAGAAGCATGATGCATTAAGAGCCAGGGTGCTGAAATATATATATTTTTTAATTACTAACATTTTGCTGATTCTGCAAGGTGTATGTAAAACCAAAAACTGAAAATGAGGCCGTCATTCATTTACACGAATGCCATTTCCAATCTGTGTGACTGAAAGGATGCTATTCGTCATAATAGGGATTAGATACTATTATAGATTCCATTACTATTTTGATTAACTTTTTATGTTTTCTTTTTAGTTTTCATTAAAGTTTTGTTAATATATACAATATTTTTATTGCTTTTTATTTTAGTACATCAGGTAAAAATGAGAAATTTTGCCTTGACAACTACAGTAGCTAAAATAAAATGTAAAAAAAAAAATTTTAAAGTTATATTTATATTTTTTATTATACAAATATAATAAATGAAGGCAATAAGCCCCAAGCCATGGTTTACAGTGAATTTATAACAGCTAAGGGGCGTTGTTAGGCACGACGCGAAGCAGATAGTTTTATAAAACGGTTATTCCATATACGTAGTAAGGCTTCAAAGAATAAAACGGAGCAAATAAAGTGTAATGATATTAATAAAAACAGTATTCTTCCACCAACACACAGACGTAAACAAAGGTGTATGTTTGTAGAGTAACGCGGCTCAACCAATCAGAATCAAGGACCGGAACTATCCGTTTTATAAAAATGATTCCTTCACTTATAATTCTTGGCAGTAGAATGACACGGTACTATTTGGCTGGTGCCCTGCCATGCAGGTTACGTTTTGTCTGCAAGTTTGCAGCGTGGTTTGCATGAGTCCTTGATTAGTGAACTATGTGCTAAAACAACACAGGTAGCAGATGCACATCAACTTATAAAAGCACCATTATCAAGAGAGCATCAGTGAACTGAGAATGATTGATTGGAAATGATGGCTTTCGTGTGTGTTATGCATGTGGGTATTGAGACTGTGCGAGTTTATACTGTTTGATAACAGTTGTGAGATTTGTACATTTGAAAGGCCGTTTTCCCATGAGAACCCGCAGAGAAGTTGAGATTGGAGCAGGAAGGAAGGGAATCGTGAATGCTTTTCTCCTAATGAGCTCTGTTGATGTGTGTAGGTCTCTCTGATCAGCCTGGTGGCCAACGCCCTGTGTTATTCAGAGCTGGGCGCCATCAAATCTCTCCGAACCCTGAGAGCCTTCCGACCACTCCGAGCTCTCTCACGCTTTGAGGGAATGAGGGTAAAATCTCTTAATGTGGACTATTTATTCATTTACATTTATAAATCATTATTCTTAAAATCATATCAATTATACATATATGTATTGAGGACTTTATTCAATAAATGAAAGGCTGACTGACTAGGAAGCAGACCTGAATTCATTGAAAATGTACCCTTTAGTTGCCTTTGGTGTTCTTTTGGCCTTTTCACACTTGAAAATGTCAGTCCAGTGTGTTTCTGGCTTAATCCGGGGTTATCTTGATTAGTATTTAATCCTGGGTGGTCAGGTTTTGAGATTTCACACTACCATTGTAAACTCTGGGTTAACATTGTGATTTCTATTAGAGAGAACAATTTTACTGTTCAGTTTTATTTTGATTGTGATTTGACTCAATTACAATTTTGATTCAGTTCGATTTGATAATGACTTTAGGCAATCACGTACAGTATATGTCTCAAGGAAAACATTTACATTACTATAATAATATATAACTTTACTGTAATATTAAAGTGATTTGTAAACAAACATTTAAATTGCACATAAGGCTGTTTTTAAAAAAGAAAAGAAAATGTATTATAGGCCGATAATAAGTTTTTAATGAGAAAATTATGTTTCTACTCCAGTTTGTAGCACTTTAAACAGTGGATGTCATAACTTGTTTTCATAATAGATTTATTCAAGCATACATTAAATATAAAAAAACAGGTAAAAAAAAAAAGAATATATAGGCTAATATAGTGTGTAAGTTTAGCATAATGTTCATTTTCCCAACTGACTAAATATCTATAAACATTGAATTGCTTTTTTTGTTCATGCATCATCTGAAAACAGACCGATTCCTGGGATTTAAGAATCGGTTTTGGTTCATCAAAATAAGAATCCATTCAAATCGAGAGATCAATATTTTCATCACAGCCCTAATTTTTTATATTTATAAAATTAAAATCGGATAAATACAGCATGCAGCAAGTATGCAGTCTATTTTAAAAATCTGTTTTATCTTTGAAAAGATGTTGCCATGCTTAAGTCTTCTGAAGAGTAAAAGACAAAAAACGCACAACTTTAAGAGAAGTGCATGCATATTTACTGAGCCTTGCACTGATTGATTCATTACTGGTTGTCTGTTGCTCTCTGTAGTTTAGGTTGCCAATTCTCCTTTAAATATTGTACTTTGATGAAAGTTTGGTAAAAGCAGAATGAAAATGAGCTTAATAAAGAATTAAGAAGATGTTAACCCAAGGTTTATTGCAGTATGAAAAGCCCCTTTCAGTAGTTTTGTGTTTCTTTCTGGCTGGACATGTGAATGAAGTCCTCTGAGCAGATCAGCTTATTGAAGTCAACATGAAACTGACATATAGGACATTCAGTGAGGACAAAACACATTGTGGGGCTTGAATTTATCTATCAGAAATTGATTGTATCATAAAAAGTAGGTGTTTAATACCAAAATAGAGTCACGTGTCGTCACATAGTTGAGGATTTGATGTAATCTGAAAAGAAACGGAGCAAGTTATACATTTCGATGAAAGATTTCAAACATCATTATTTAGTACAGGGTTGCCCAAACTTTGAGAGTTGATAAATAGCTAATAATTAATGAAATCTAAAAATTATTTTTTTTAAAAAAGTAAATAATTAAAGGGTCATCATTTACTCACCCTTAAGTTGTTCAAACCCTGTATGAAGATATTTTGAAGAATGTTGGTGACCAAACAGTTGCCGGTCCCCATTGACTTCCATAGTATGGAAACAAGTACTATGGAAATCAATGGCTAACTCTTTGGATACCACCATTCTTCAAAATATCTTAGTTTCTGTTCAACAGAAGAAAGAAATTGAGTAAATGACAGAAGTTTCCTTTTTTTGGTGAACTGTCCCCTTAAAATTAAAATATTTTATGTTTAACCTGCATGTCATGTGACTGTTTTGAAAAATGAACCTAAAATCTCAGGTATACTTTAGATCAAAGTGGTTTAGCTGACAAAAACGAAACGCTGCTTTTGTATAATGTGCATGTAATCATTCACAACAAGGTCGTAAACATGCATTAAAGGGGTCATATGACGTTGCTGAAAAGAACATTATTTTATGTATTTGGTGTAATGCAATGTGTTTATGCGGTTTAAGGTTCAAAAAACACATTATTTTCAACATACCGTACATTATTGTTTCTCCTCTATGCCCCGCCTTTCTGAAACGCGTCGATTTTTACAAAGCTCATCGGTCTGAAAAAGCAAGGTGTGCTGTGATTGGCCAGCTATCCAGTGCGTTGTGATTGGCCGAATGCCTCAAGCGTGTGACGGAAATATTACGCCCCTCACCATACTGTGATGCCGTCTCCCAGCTGCTCTGCTCGTGCACATCCCATCATCGGTTCTCTTTTAGCAGTTCAGTCAATGTACTGTTAGGAGTAACTGAATAACTCGGGATATTGTTTTATTTTGCATCAGAGGGAGTGTCGGGCACGTTTATAAACCGAATAACTTAAGTAATTTGTGGATTGTAGACGCGTACCGTATCGCGCTGCGTAAACATAAAGCCATGTCTGCATTTGTGATCGGAGAAACAACAAGCCTACTCTACACTGCTCAAAACTTGCGTTTGAATCATCAGTGGCAAATTATTTAAATAAAAAAAATGTACTAACAGGCTGTGAGTCAGAAGTGCCAGACTGTCCTTGCAAAGTTGGAACTGCCCAACTTTATATAAACAGTCTTTGTGCCACAGACGCATTGTAGGTATGCACCAAGAGCTTGTAGCACTCCAAAGAGAAAGGAAAAATTGAAATCGTATCATATGACCCCTTTAAGAGAGTAAATGGGGTTCAAATTGATTTCATGTTGACTTGAAGAGCGTAGAGAGAAATGTGTGCCTGGATTTGTGTATGATTTTCTCCAAAAATGTTTTTAGAAATGGATTAAAATTGATTAACAAGAACTCATCCTAAAAGGCAATGAACAGAAACTACTTATTGGCTGCAGGGTGCTTGAGACCATTGAAATTCAACTGTGACATAATCCTGTGTCTGGTCATCATCTGTGGTGTTTTGCTAAAGCTGTGAATTGCAAGCGATGGTAGGGAGCACTGACGTGCTGCTTTATGTATTAAGCTCAGGGGTGTGGGTCGTTATTAGTACTGTTATTGACCAAACGCTTGCGTACGTTCTCCACACGAATGTGATGTTGCGATGACTTCCTCCCCTCACGTGGCAATCACTGATCTCTCCTCTGTCTGTATTGATGGTGTCTGCATCCGGATGTGCCATTGCTGCTGAGTGCCTTTAACATGCGCTTTCCTTTCTTTTTGTGTTTGTTCATTTACAGTAAACGTTAATACTGTGGCTTCACCTTACTTCCTAAAGGTCATGCTTTTTCATGCCAAGGTTGTCAAGGTTGTGTGTCATTCAGAACTGAACTGAGAGGCATTTAAATAGTATTTCGGTTCCTGAATATGAATTGAAGTAGTAGACAATTTAATTTATTTATATATAAATCTATATAAATTGTTTAAAATAATATATTAACATATAAATTAGAAATATATATATATATATATATATATATATATATAATAAATTACATAATTATCATTTTAGTATTTATTTATCATCACAAATGCTCATTTTATCAGGTAAAATTTATTTTTATAGAGAGAGATTATGTATTTAAAATTTGATATATGTTATACTGTATATGTTTTATAATTTATATTTTATATACTTGCAGCCTAATTTCTTTAAATTGCTCCAAATCAACATAATGTGGTCACATTTCAAATTCAGCTGATCTTTCGATTCTGAACTTTGCACAATCATCCAAACTGCAAAACAGACAAAACTAGTGAGTGCACAGATCGATGTGCACTAATATCTTTCCCTCTCCATTCCTCTTTCTTTTTTCCCAGCTTCTCCCCTCGATCGTTATTGTCATTGCCGGTAACTATTTGTCCTCCTGCCATTGTTACTGCTAACCATTACACACTGGGCAGATTCTCATTACACTCATGTGTTTTCCTCTCTTTACCAAAAGTCAATGGAATAAAAAACGGATGCACTTAGTTTTACTGGTGTATCAGTATGGAATTATTTGTGTGTCTTTATTATTCAATCAAAATCTGTGTTTGAGAGTAAAACTAATTATTTTGTAATTAAAAAATAAAAGTATGCAAAAAAAGTCTTCTTAAGGCTCAAAAATAAAGAAATTGATAACAAAATTATTTGCAGTGCGTATAAATCTTTGAAAATCTTTATTTTTCTTTGTGTACTTTAAACACTTTTCATTGCGAAACCACAAATGTGACTCTCTTTTCTATGGAAGCCCGTTTCCGCCACTGAAAAAAAAAAAAAAAAAAAAGGAAATTGCGACTTTTTATCTCGCAATTCTGACTTTTTTTCACAGAATTGTGAGACATAAAGTCAGAATTGTGAGTTATAAAGTCAGAATTGCGAGTTATAAAGTCAGAATTGCGAGATATAAAGATTTTTTTCTTGCAATTGTGAGTTTATATCTCGCAATTCTGACTTTTTTCTCGCAGTTCTGACTTTCTTTCACAGAATTGTGAGATATAAACTCGCAATTGCGACTTAAAGTACAATTTTGAGGGGGGAAAAAAAGACTGATATGTTCTCAGAATTGCGAGTTTATATCTCACAAAAAAAGTCAGAATTGCCAGAAAAAAGTCAGAATTGTTAGATATAAACTCGCAATTGCAAGAAAAAAAGTCAGAATTGTGAGTTTATATCACGCAATTCTGAGAAAAAAAGTCTGAATTGTCAGATAAAAGTCGCAATTACCTCTTTTATTTTTTATTCAGTGGCGGAAACAGGCTTCCATACTTTTCTGCCGTCTTTTTCAAAAAAACTTTTGTTTGCGACATTTGTGGTTTCGCAATGAAAAGTGTTTAAAGTGCACAAAGAAAAACAAAGATTTTCAAAGATTTATACGCACTGCAAATAAGTTTATCAATTTCGTTATTTTTGAGCCTTAAGAAGACTTTCTTTTTTTTGCAATCTTTTATTTTTTAATTACAAAATAATTAGTTTTACTCTCAAACACCGAATGTTTGATTGAATAATAAAGACACAAAAGTAATTCCATATATCAGGCCTATAATAGAGCTGGGTGATATGGCAAAAAAAGTTATGTGAAAGAGATACGTGATATTAATATTGATGTTTTTACCCTGAAATTACCTTTTATTTCACTCAAATGAATAATGATTTCAACCAATCAGCCATTATATTTAAGAAGATTCAAAATGTTGAATGCAAAATACAATAAAAGACTAATCGGAAAATATTCAAGGCATGTTTTCCACATTGTTTGCCACACTAGATAAACATGAGAAAAATTATATTTGAACAAAATAACACCAATAGAAGAACGGCTCGGGTTACTTATGTAACCATGGTTCCCTGAGGGGAACGAGACACTGCGTCCTCTAGGGGTCGCTATGGGGAACGCCCATAGTAGGAAAAGAAAAAGCTCTTACTTTGCTTTTGGAATGCACTCTTCAAACAGAACGGTCAGTGAAGACGAAGAAGGTGATGATGTGCGCTACCGTCGCCTATTTTGTACTAGTTGCGACGGTAGTGACGTCATGGCTGTCGCCGGCCAAACAAGTTGGTGTTTTTTCAATGTAGGCTTCAGACACGGGTCACAACGAGGCGTTCCCCATAGCGACCCCTAGAGGACGCAGTTCGAAGTTCCACGAAAGGGAAGCTATTTTTACCTGCATATATTTTTATACTTTTTACTGTTAATTTTTGAGTTGCGGCAAATTAATCATTGAATGAGCTGTAAAACAAAGTGCTTCCATGACGATTGCACAGTATTCATGACCCTTTGTGATGTTTCTGTTGACGCAGGTGGTTGTGAATGCTCTTCTGGGCGCCATCCCCTCCATCATGAACGTCCTGCTGGTCTGCCTCATCTTCTGGCTCATTTTTAGCATTGTGGGCGTCAACTACTTCGCCGGAAAGTTTTACGAATGTGTAAACCAAACCTCGGGAAAGCGCATGTCTATCGCAGATATCGGTAATAAAACGGATTGTCTCAACAGCCCCAATGACCTCGTCTGGAGAAATGTGAAGATTAACTTTGACAATGTAGGAAATGGATACCTGGCCCTGCTACAAGTGGTAAGGTTGCCCTAAGAATTTGATGTTCAATAAATATGAGAGAGATTTGTTTTTGATTTTGATTTAATTTTATTATAATTTTTTAAACCTTGAACATAGAAAATGTATAATGTTTCATCATAAGAAGAGATTTTTAACATCATTGGAAAATCTCTCTGTCTGTTTTTCTTTAGTAATCTCCATTAATATTAGTAGTAGTAGTATTTATTATTATTAATAATAAAATATTTATATTATTATTGACATTATGAATTTAAAATTAAATGTAAGACAGTACACTCTAAAAAAATTTTTGGGTTGTTTTGACCCAGCGGTTGGGTTAAACATTTAAGCCAACCGCTGGGTCAAAACAACCCAATTGCTGGGTTTGTCCCTATTTTACCCAGCACTGGGTTGTATTTAACCCAGCATTTTTTAGAGTGTACATCAGATCGTACCATGATATTTAAAGGGCTCACTTGAAATCGCATCACATGACCCCTTTAAATGCTTTTACAGTATAAATAAATTATGTCTAATATTTTAAAACAAAATATTATTTCCCATGCAAAATAATTTCCCAGTGCAATAATATTAATGGTGCTAATATCAAAAATTAAAATGTCAAGTTTTCTTCATTTTGTCAAGGCCACTTTTAAAGGGTGGATGCCCATTATGCATGCAGCGGTAGACTCTCGCAGTGTAAGTCTTTTTTGATTGTCATTTTACAGCTGCTTCAATAATATTTCATTCAAAATTATGATACACCATTCTTATAATCAAATCGTACTGGTGCATGCTGCCCTTCATCTCCATCTCTGCAGGTAAATGTTCAACCAAAGTATGAGGACTCTCTGTATATGTACCTCTATTTTGTCATCTTCATCATCCTTGGAGCTTTTTTCACATTAAATCTCTTCATTGGCGTCATCATTGACAACTTCAATCAGCAGAAGAAAAAGATAAGTATCTATATACTATAAGCTTGACAACAAAGCCATCTGCTTCTGATTTTGGATGTTTCTTTTTAATGCTAGTTTCCTGCAAAAAAAAGGCATTTGAAATGATTTTGACTCAGAAATATATATATATATACTTTATTTTTCCCCCTTTAAATATATCACAAATCACAGCAATAAATATATTGATTATTTTTGACCGCTGTTACAAAACCATTTTTACAATAAATTTTCTGGTTTGACCTTGAGATTAGATAGCTTCAATATTTGACCACTATTTATGATAATACTTGGTTACAGTGACACTAGTAGTTCTCATTTCTGTCAGGAGTGCAAAAACAATTGGGAGTTAATGATATTTTGATCAGAGTAACGAGACACTCTACATAGCAATACGAAGCAAATGTGATTGAATATGTATTAACCATTTTACCATAATTTCTGGTTCAAACTAAACGAGGACAGGAACATGGCCAAATAAGGAAACACAGGAAGAACTACGGGGCCAAAACAGGTCCAAAAGTCTGACATTTCATATAAGGAAAACGTGTATTAATTTCATACTGTCACTATGAAATAGTGCGTGCTGAATGTCTCTAAATCGCTGCATGGATTCAGGTGCGTGAACCAGGATCAAAAAACCCAGGCGCTCTCTATTAAGCAGGAGGAGCGCTGACAGTTAAAGTCCATTTCTTATTTTATTGTTTTTTTGTATTGTCATGTTGCAGTATTTTATTTGCTAGTGTTTTAAAAATATATATATATTTTTGGTATTTTATATGCTTTGGTGGTGGTTGGTGGAGTAGAATCACCCGGGAGTATATATATATATTTTTTATCCCTACCGGGGATATAATTCAGCAGATACATTGACCAGAAGGGGATATATATATATTAGTGGTGTCAAAATTAGCACGTTAACGCAGGCGATTAATTTTTTCAGTTTAATGCGTTAAAAATATTTAACGCAGGGGCTAGGGTTGGCCACCCCACTCACAACTGCTGCTTCTGTCACTTTTTGTCTTGACAAGAAGTGCATTTATTCAGTCGCAGAACGACTGAGAACCGGAGTATGGCGTTCGGACGGGATCTTTAATATGACGCTGCAACATGCACTCGTCTCACTGAATGTCTCATTGACGTCTTCATTTTTATTTTATTTTTTGCTATTTAATCCATTCATTTTAAGACGCAGACGAGGCGTAGACGTGACGTAGACGTCACGCAGACGTCACGTAAATCACGTGTGGCAGTGAAGTGTCGAGCCAGACGTCACGCGTGATTCACGTGTACCAGTGAAGTTTTTTTATTTAATTTTCGCTAACAGGTATCATAACACGCTGCTCACACGGCTCAGTGCAGTGTGTCAGCCAATGCACAATTATGGCGTTGGACGGGATCTTTAATATGACGCTGCAACATGCACTCGTCTCACTGAACGTCTCACTGACGTCTTAATTATATATTTTTTTTTTTTGCTAATTAATCCATTCATTTTAAGACGCAGATGAGGCGTAGACGTGAACATCACGCAGACGTCACGTAAATCACAACGTGCGTGTCTACACGTACAAAAGAAACGCGTTCAAAATTGCCGCGTTAACGCGGGCAGATTGTGCGTTGACACGGTCACATTTCACGCGTTCCGTTTAAAAACTTTTGGCCCCGTCTGCCTTCCATACAGTGAAGTGTCGAGCCAGACGTCACACGTGATTCACGTGTACCAGTGAAGTTTTTTTATTTAAATTTCGCTAGCACGTATCATAACACGCTGCTCACACGGCTCAGTTATAGCTTTAAGGATTCATCTATATTTAATTTAGAATTTAGTGTTTGATATCTTAAATTTCAATTTCTGTATATTTCTGCTGAAAGGCACAGGTAAATATGACATTTATTATAATGGGTTTATGTGAAGATTGTTTTAAGTTCACTTAAATTAGAAGTTATTTTTTAAAGTCTAATAAATGTTCAAATTGATAGCTCTCAATTATACTGTAATGTTGAAGGGCTATAGTTAATGGTTAAATTTTGGAGGGGGGGG